ACTGAAAAAATATCCTGAAGGGAGAATTTCTAATAAATTTGTTTGCACCCTCGTAGCCTGGAGGCAAAGAAAAAACCCAATCCCCTGAGCAGTGGGGAAGTTCCAGTTCCGTGGCCTTTTGAGCCTTGATTTTTGGGCTCGCTGCTCCGGCTGGCAATCGGAGGCACCGTAGTTTTGAAGGCAGGGTTCGTTACAGTTATTACGAAGGCATAGAGGGCAAGTGCGGAGGGGAGGCAGAGGAAGGGTAGAAAGCCATAAAAGAATTTGCTCTGACAAACAGAATGATATGAAGAAAGGAGAGTGCTTCTCCTGCCTCCCCTCGCCCCAGTGAAGGACACGTTTTGTTTTCCGAATGTGGATTTCCAGATGACTTTTGTTTTCTACACTTTTCTGTAGAGGAACTGTTTCAAACAGGCCTTAGTCTGGCTCTGTAAAACGCTCTGTTGGAGTGGGACAGAAATGAGGCTTGTGCTTGTGAGAGAGGACCCTGGATGGATGGATGGATGGATGGATGTGCATTTTCTCTGTATTTATTTCCCTGAGGGGCAAAACTTTTGCTTAGGAAAGAGCACTTCCTTCCCTAATGTTGAAATATATGTTTTTGCAGTGCAAATTCCTGATTGATTTCAGTGATGGACAGAATTATTTCCCCTCTGAAATGCTGTAAATCTATTCAGGGCTGCTTGCTGGAAAGATCTTGTGGTGTGACTCAGCTACCGGATCGAAATCTGCAGTCTCAAGATGCAGTAGCTCTTAAATGTCAGACAGTGTTGCAAAGCCCCCCTGTGTGGCTGGTTTAGGCAAAACTTTGGCACTGCAGACTGGACCGTTGGAAAGGGCCCGTACATCCATGTAGTACATAGCCCTGGGCTTTGGGATGTCTGCTCAGGCTCGCGGTGGTGTCATTAGGATGGTTGCTAGATGAGCTCAGAACTGGGACCTCAGGACCCAGTTGCAATACATAATTTTACCTGTTGCAAAAGGATTAACTCGCGGGAAACCCAGGGTCTGTGCAGCACCATAGCCCTGTGAGGCAGCCTGGCTCCTTGTGTCGTGGTGCACGTGCGTGGTCCCTGCGGACAGCAGCGATGTTTGGATGTGGCTATTGCAGCCGACTCTCTCTTCAAGGGCATGGGTGACCACGTGCGAGATGCATGACAATAGGTGGCTACATTGGATTCCTCAGATGGATTCTGGTCTCCCACTGGTCTGGCTGTAGAGAAAACACATGTAGGTTTTTGCTTGGTCTGGTTTGAGCTGAGTGGCTCTAGCCCCAGCAGCAGATCCCCACTGGTGGGGCTAGCGGGCTGAACCCCTTGACGTTTGGTGGAGTTTCTTCTCCAGAGCTGACCCAGGCTGTGAACAACACATAGCTATATGTGCAGGTTGCCCCACACTGCTGGGGCACTCTCACCTGTATGGAAAACAGAACAAAGCTCTTTCTACTCTATTTTCACTCTTAGAATAATGGATGGCTCTTATTATCTTATTATCTTAGCAAACTCCAAGTCTGGCCTGCCCTAAACGTTTTGGTGCAAGTGAAAGTAGCTTCATATTCCAGGGCAGGACTTCGGAGATAGTCCAAGGCTGCTGCAGTCCGTGGCAATGTGAAATGATGTTTGTGATCATCCTGCATGTATTGGCTAAATGTTGCAGAATTTGGAAGAGATGGTGGCCATCTCTGTCACATGAATTCTCATCTTCCTAGTAAGTCTTGATGCCTGTTGTCAACATCAGACAGTTAAAACATCACCATTGGCATCTGAATTAGCCGTCCTGGAGAAAAGAAGGCCCTTTCCTTCACAGAGCTATTTTTTTGCAGCTTTCCATAGGTTCAGGCAGACGTTTTGTTAGTCACATTTTGAAGATTCTACTTAAAAACTGAAGTGGCTAGAGATTTCCTGCTGCTTAGGTTCAGGCCGAGGCCATGGGCAGTAGTTTGGATGATTGCCTGTGCCTCAGGGGGGCCCCTCGTTTGCTGCCGCTCATGGGTCCGTGTCATGGCCACATGGGACACGACTGTGATCCCGATGCAGAAGATACCTGGATCTCACTATAATACTTGGGTGTTACTCACCCGCGGTGAGAGGACAAACCGCACCTTGATGCAACGTACCAAGCAAGAACACGCCTTGCATCCATCCCCAGAGCAGGGTAAGCCCTGGGTCGCCAGTGTGCATGGGTGACTGTCCCTGGGGGACACCTCTTCAGCCAGCAGCTGCTAGCTCTGCTGCTGATCTCATCCTGCAAAACCCATCATACGTGCACTGCGAAGCAGAGGAGGCTCCAACCTCTGAGCAGACTTTTCTTCAAGTGATAAAGGCTCGGCTCTTGCCTCGCACTTCTGCTTGATCATCACTGCTTGTGATTTCCAGGTATGGACACTGGGGCATGGAGCCAAGATATGCAGCAGGCCTGGCAGCAGAGGGCAGGTCTTCCATATGCATTCTGGCAGGCGGCCTTCCCACGTTTTACTTTGTTTTCTTGTGAAGTCTAAGCCTTGCCAAGCCTGAGATCCGCTCCTCGCACAGAGCGTGGGCCCTGCTGTCGTGTGTCTGAGCCTTTCCGCCAGATTGTCACACCTCTCCTGCAAATTTGATTTTCTCTCTTTGGACAGGCAGAGGGATAGTGGGCTACTGAGGCTGTAGAGCTCATTGGAGTCTTAGTGCCTGGGAAATGCAGCAGCTTCAGCTGGATCCCTGTTAGCGGGAACCAGCTATACTGGTGATTGTTTCACCAATAGAGAGGGAAATTCAGTGTAAGGTAAATAGCACCCGGCTGGCTGGCTCGTGAGAGAGGTGCTTGTCCTGGAAAGCCCTTAGGGCTGCTGGTGCTCGTTGCCTCCCACCATTCCTGGAAAGCCATCAGGTTTAAAGAAATCCTTCGTTTGCACAGGGATCACCCTTTAGTCCTGCTGCGGTCACCATTAGTATTAGTTAATGAATGTCACAATACCCTCTGTAATTTTGCTTCTTTTAATTGGTTTGCTCTCGTATCCCGGAGGATGGTTTGGCAATTAGAAGGTGTCTTGGCACTCTGACACGGAGCGGAGCGGAGCTGGGCTACTCCCATTTGGCTTTACTAACTCCACTGACTTTAATGGCTAATCCTGTGGCACTCGGAGAAATGAAAGTGTAATTAATAGTCTATAGTGAAAATGAACAATTTCACCGGGTTTTGTTTAGATTCCTCTTTTACTGCTGGTGCGTGGAGCATTTCTGTTAAGACGTAACTGGTATCAGTTTCATTTGAGAGCCAGAGAAACAAGAGGTGAACAATCTCCAATTCATCATCCGGTTGTAAGGGCAAGAGGGTAGTCGCTTCCCCCTTGTTAAGTGTACAGTGTCATTTACAGCTGGTACCTTCATCCTTGTCTCAGGAGTGTTTTATGGCATATCCCATTTTATTGCCATAATTAATTTGTGAACTTAGCCGCGAGAACTGCCCCGGCAATACTTTGAGCTGGAGACAATTCTGGAGGGCTTTTTTCTTTCATCTGGAGTCTAAGCAAGTGAAAAGCTCCTGCTCTAGCTAATTAATAGGAAGAGTTTTGTAGTTCTCCATGGGGGTTTTGTAGACTAATAACTGGATTAGCGGTTCAGAAGTGGATGAAGGAGGTAGGCATGTTGTACAGGAGCTGCAGAGGCACCGGTTAGCTGTGCGTTAACTGCAGTTCTCAGGCTGCCTCTCGAACCCTGGTAGTCTGTCTGTGGGGGCAAAAGCCTGTGAGGGCGGGAGAGGAAAAGGAAGAAGTGAGGGAAGATGTACCTTCCTGCAGCCAGAGTTTCCAAACAACAGAAAAATGAGCTGAAGGCAGGGAGCCTGGTTTCCCACCGCATCCCCCCGGGTGCAGAAATGCATCAGAGCTTCCCAGGCAGGAAACCCAACACCGTCTTTCTGCAGCTTCCAGGTGTCTTCTGTGTTTTCGCTCCCAAATGAACAGGACTTCTTCTGCCTGGTGGCCCTCCTCTATGTGACATGGACACCCCGGTGTGCAAATTGGCTTCCTCTTGGCCCCTGCCAGGGAGCTCTTCCTCGCCTGGGCTCTCCCACCCACCCTTGCAAGGACTTGCGGGACTGCTTCTCTCTAGGGCCAGAACGTCTCTTTCAACCCAGCTCACTGAGAAGGATGCACCTTAGCTCTCAGGACTGGGAATTGTGCTCTAGAGACCCCTTCGTGTATGGTCTAGGAATGACCTTCTACGTTGCAACTGTAGGTTTGCTGCCGTTTGATGGTTAAAGAATATATAGGTGCCTGGAAGAGGATGGAGCGTGATGTGCCCATCTTGGAAATGCACGTCGGTGAGAATGGGCTTTGTAAAGTCGATTGGTGTAGTGAGAATTTTAGCAAGAACTTAATTTGGATTATGTTGTTGCTGGGATAGATCTGTGGTTTTGCGCAATTTTGGTTTATTTGTTAGCTCTTAGAATGATTCATTCATTATTTTGCTGAAGAATTAACGTAAGTGTGCTATGTTAACGTGTCCCTTTGCAATAACAGTAACGTATGCTCATACGTGCTCAAAAGCACAGCTTGCAGCTCAACATGAAGGTAGCCTGAATTTCCTTTATGCTTCAAGAATGGGTTTTATTCCCTATCTTTTCACAAAACAAAGCAATTCTACTGTGGTTTTGCATTGTGTGATCTGGCAAAGGCCACTTCCGAGAGAACCTGGCTACTGGATATCCAAAAGGCAGGAGAGCTGGAAAGTATGTTCCCTGAAGTAAGTTTTCAGTACTCTGGCTAGTTTGGATGGCTCCTTATTGAGTTTGTACAGAGCTGAGTTTAAGACTCTGTTATAGCTTGTTACTGCTCCACAAGCGTCGGATACCACTAGTAGGTTAAGCATAGGTTAAGCACAGTTTTAAAGGACAAGCTCAAGATTGTATTCTGGGAATCTTGGTTCTTTACATGAAGAGCCAGGAAAGTATTTGAGATCCACATAACCCAGGCGTGAAGATGTCATTTCACTAACTGCAACTTTCTTTTGTCTTTCTAGTTTGATGGGGAGAACATGTATATGGGAATGAATGACAATACCCAGGAGTTTCTATCAGCAAATCAGGTAAGTGCCGTTTTGCTTCAGTGGGCTGGGCAAACGCAGTGGGTGAGATTCCCTGAGTCACCTGGGCTACATCAAAGCGCAAATGCTACAAGCTTTTGGTGAATCTGTGCTCCTGGGACAAGCGGGACCTTAAGAAGGGTCCATGGAGGAGGTCAGGGCTTGCTGCCAACTCTGTTGTCTGATGCCAAAGAACAGTTGGATGCATTTGGTACTGGGAGATGGACATGCTGGTGTGCTGGTACCGCTGCGTATCGCCGGGACCCAGCTTAGCCACAGCTCTCTAGTGAGGCTTAAAAGTTTCACCTCAGTGTCTGTGACTGTAAATGAAGTAGTAGCAATTGGTGTTTTTACGAGCGGCAAGGTTTCCAAGTTGTGTGTGGAGCTTGGGTCTCTTCTTTCTCCTTTCCTCACGTAGAGTATTTCCTGTAGCTAAATAGGTTAATGTTTAGCTGGCTCTGGGAGAAATAGGAATCAAAATTTTCCTGTTTTGGAACTACAGACCTGCCTGTGGAGGACCAGAATAGCAGTGCTCACATCTTGCAGATGCCCAAGCCTTCAGGCCTCTGACTGAGCTTCGATACACAGGAAACAGAAAAAAACACATGAAACTGTCCTTTCAGTGGTGCCCTAACCATATACAGTTAAAATTAAACACTCACATAGGTCCCGTTGGCAGTCTAGGACTTCAGCATGTGTTTACATGTCTTCCTGAGACGAGAGATGGTCCTGGGTGCAGCCGTCTGAGATGTCCTGTCTTGATGGGAATGTGCAGGGGCTTTAGTGCCTCTTTTGCAGGTGCCTGATGCTGCACTCTTGGAGGGCAGCATCTCATCGTGGCCTGCTACCTCATGAGGAAAAACAAGGGTTCATCATTAACATTTTTTAAGCATCTCATGTTTGGACTCTCTTGGGCCATTTCGTTGTGGGGCCCTATCCACCACAGCCACGTGCGTTACAGGCTGTGCCGGGTAATGTCATGTGAAGTTGCTGCATTGCAAATTTCGAAAGAGAACTGGATGAAGGTTTCTCTTTCACACAAAGTGCTCCTGGCTTCCTGTTACCCCGGAAGCTCGTATCTGTTGTCTGGGGTGAGATTGCAGTATATTTCTATTGTTGGGGTTTGGCAGTTACCATGGCATCACTATAAATTACAAGGCTAGTGAATCACCCATTTTGTATCTAAATCAGATATGGAGAATGATTAAAAAAAAAACATTGAAAACAGGATGAAAAACTGTTGTTTGCTTGTTGTTTAGGAGAGCTGGAAAAGCAAAGGGGGGAAGAGGTTGCTCTCATGCGAGAGTGATTCCCTGGGTGGGGAAGAAGTGTTCACTGAAGACTTTGGGCTACACAGCAACTCAGCAGAAACAAATGTGTAGTCAATCCACAAAGCCACTGCTCGTATTCAGAGCTAGTAATTGCCATAGGTTACATAAAAAAGTGAAAAAAAGGAACAGGCCGACTCTGAGCTGCGCCCAGCTGGGGTTCGGCCCCGTCTTTCCCCATTATTCCCTGAAGCTGTTCTTCCCTTTTAGCCTGCGAAACAAATGGGGCAGAGGCAGGGAAAGGTTTTATCCCCTTGTTCGGTGGGAACCACATGGTCCATTTAGACATGGGGTCACGTTTCCGTGGTGTCTGATCTGAAAGGGCTTGAACTTGGGAGGAGCTGAGCAGTCCAGGTCTGGCTCAGTAAAGCACAGAAGAGGCGTTGAATCGTAGAGGTGTGCGTGGTGCCCAGCGGCTGGCGGGCTGGGATGGGACCGGCCAGCCCCTGCTCAAATCAGTGCTCCCTCTTGTTCAGCTTTTCCGGGAATTATAATATCATTGCTGCAAAACGGTCCCAACCTGGGAAATCACTGAGCGCTTGCCTTGCCTCCGTGCTAAAAGAACTGTTTGCTGCTTATCGTGATCAAGTGAAAAGGTGCGAATGTCTGTGTACTAAGCTGGAGGCCCTGGGGCGCTGGGGTTATGGGTGTTCAGAGGCTTACAGCATCAGGTTCAGCGCATACGAGCAAGCTTTAGATGCTCACGGGGGCGGTTGTCTCCGATATTCTGGGTTTAAAAACCCCCAAGGGACAATCACTTCATACGCTCATCGGGAAGGTCTAAAGATGCTGGCGCAGGGGCTGGTAGCAGTCCCTGACCGTGCTGAGCGTGGAAGGTAATGTGCTGGATCAGGCCATCCTGGGAACTGAACCGCAGCCAAAAGGAACCATTTGTGTTTCCTATTCTAAATTGATAGAAATCACCTCGCAGCCCTTGCAGCATCTCACTTCCCCTTCGTGTGGGCAACTGGAGCGAAATCGGCATAAGAGCTGCTGCTGGGAGGTGACGAATGGATTTCTTTGCCAAGATTGAGAGCAGGGGGAGGCTTCCTGATAAGAAAAGAGACTATCGCGTGCCTGAGGATTAATGGGCTGTTTGAACCTGGGAGAAGGACAAACCGAACCAGCCAGATCCTTGTCACCTCGGGTACAGAAGAGGAATTTCCAGTCATGCTTTATTTACCTGGTTTAGTTTATTTCATATTTGGAAAGGGCAATTAAGTATTAAAAGGGAGGAAATTGCTTTCTCGTGGCAGAGGGTGGGCAGCGGGCGACTCACAGCTGGCACCGCCGCGTTACGGGAACGGGTTTGGGCAAGGGTGAGCGCTGCCGCCTGGGAAAGGAAGTTCAGTACTTGCTTCTCCGACCTTTTAACAAACTCGCGGCTCGCTAGCTCTTGCAGTCTGCTCTGCAGGGCTCTCCTCCGTCACCCTCGGCAGTCTCTAATCTTCCTTTATTTACTTTCACGTCGCCGCTTGTTTACCGGAGAGCGCTTTATTGCGCTGGCCACGACTTTATTGCTAATAACGCAACTCTTGTATTTAAATGAGCGCTCCAGATGTTCTTTTTATTGTTTGCTGAACCTTTTGTAACCTCAACGAGCGCATTGAACGGCAGGAACGCCGCTTCCCCGTCCCGCTGGAGAGGCAGCTAAATCATCGGCGCAGCTACGCCTGCACAACACGCACGGGATGTCGCTCGGCTCGCCAGATCCCTGGGGAAAAAGACAAATCAAACACGCTAATTACAGAAGCTGTTACACTGGAATAGATGGGCCTTGTGGTTTTTTTCTTCCATTTTTGCCCGCAACCGCTCTGCCGTGCGCCATTCGGCACCGCCCGGACAGCTCCCGTTGGCGGGGACGCCGCGTTGGCGGGGCTGAACGCTCGCTTTGAGCCCAGCTCGGGTGCAGAAGCTGGGAAATCCGGCCTTAACGGGGGAGAAATCTTAGCGTGCACCTCACCTGTTCTTTAGGGCCCAATGGTTTTATGTAACTCAGTGCTGTGCTAAGTGGTGAGCTCCACCGGTATCGGCAAAGTCGCGACTGTGTTGGGGGAGACTCTGGACCTGCCCAAGGCCTTCCAGCTTTGCGCTGCGTAAACCGGGCGCTGAAGGTGCGGGAGAACGAGAGACCCGTGCGCTGCGCAGCAGCCTGGGCGCACGGTGTTTTAGGAGAGCCTTGCTTCAGCTGGAAACTTTTAGGGGTCCATGAGCAGAAAAAGGTTGAAAGTCTTTGTCCCAGGAACTTTCCTTGTGTTTCTCTCCTGCCGACAATTGGGAAGTGCGGTTTTTATTTCCTTGCCGTTTTGCCTTCAAAACACCTAGAAGAAATTAGGCAGAAAACAGCGTTCACCTAAACACCTCCGCGCCCGCCCTGGCTTAACCCTGGGGGTTTAAGTGGCTGCTGCCTGTAGTGCTTTCCGCTTTCTGCCCAGAGCTCCAGCCATCGGTTAAGCTCTTGAGTCATCCTTTCCTTTCCCCTCCCAAAGATAAAGTTCGTCTCGCTTTACAACTGGAGCCGCTGAGACAGAGCGCTTGGGGCGGCTCTGGTGACGAGCCGGCCTTGGAAAGCGTCGCCAAACTCCAGCAGCCTGACATCAGCCTTATCTCAGCCCCGTGCTCGGTTTCCATCCGAAGTAGCTTCTGCAGGGTCTCAGGTCAAGAGCGTGGTACGTCCAGGAGCAGCTCCCGCTTCCTTTTCCTTTCGTCGTTCCTTACATCGCCGAGCTGCTGGCTTATGTAAACAACAGCCTCAGACACTTCCAAGCCAGCTGATCTGCTCTCTCCCCTCATCTTCCTTCAAGTGATGGCTTACGTGCTGTGTGCTGCGTTGCATGCTTTCATCCCGAAAGGGCTTTGTCTCAGCTGAGAATAAGGACAGAAATACAGGAACCTAAAACATAATGAAAGCGCTGACAGATCCGTAGCCGCGCTGGCCCACGCTGCCTCGTGGAAATAGCTCCTCTTGTTCCATCAAATAGGAGGGACATCTGACCCCAGAAGAGAGTCAAATGGGAAATGTAATTCAACCCCCAACAGGGGCCGGGGAAGAAATGCAGCTTGACATCTGATCAAACCGTCGCGGCCACCTGACCCTCGGGATGAGTGAGGGATCTGTTGTGTCTCACGGAGTCGGCAGCGCGTCATTCCTCACCCGGTGTTTTTCCCTCTCCCCCCCCCCCCCCCGACAAAGAGAAGGAGTTAAGTAGTGCCGAATCCCAAGGAGCATACGGCCGAGGGAGGTACCCTGGAAAACGAGGGGAAAACAGCGCCCATGCCTTTGAAAGAAGTAAAACCGGCTACGAAATAAATGAGTGAAGCCATTTCTTAAGATCCTCGTGACAGGGAAACCAACCCTGATGAAGTCAAGGGGCTGGGAAATTCGAAGTGTGATCAGACGGGAATTAGGTAGGTTCGCCTGGCGTTAAGATTTTTGCGCCCACTGGAAGAGTCCACAGGTGCTTTGTAAATATTAACTCTGCCTCAAAATACCTTGTAAGAAAGTATCGTTGTCCCCTGTTACAGGCAGATAAACACAGGAAATATGTTGCTCGAGAGCAGGAGGCAGCGGGATGTTGGAGCAGGAAGCGGGCTCAGCTGGGACGCTCAGCGCGCTCCGGCCCGTGCCGTGCCGGGCTGCTTCCTCGCGGGGTGGCCGCCGGAGCAGCGCCCGCG